GCATCTGCACTTCCCTCAACCAACACTAAGATTCTGTGTTGGTCGTAGTGGGAAGATTGACACTTCTTGTCAATGCAGGAAACTAGCTGGAAAATAGAAATAAAATTCTTTCTAGTGGGCCAAGGGCCCTTTTTTGAGAAAAAGTAGATGAGTAAATTATTTATGCAGGTTAGTAACTTCTGAGGTCTGATTTATGATGGAAATAGGATCATAATTCAGGGTGAGATCTTAAATATACTTAATCCATTTGAAGGGTGATGAGATTCATGTTTTTATTTTGCCTCTGTGTTATACTGTTTTGATTCACTTGGATTTTACTATTAAGCATGGGCCTGATGGCTCAGCAGACTGATAGCATTGTGATTAACACCAGCTGTCTGCAATTACTGTAAGTACTGTAAGGCTATTGCTTAACGCATTGTATGCCGCCCTGAGTCTCCGGAGAAGGGCGGCATATAAATCAATTTTTTTTTAAAAAAAAGCATGATGTCTCATCTCATGGCCAAAAGCATGATATAATTAATGAAAGACCAGAAATATACTGAAGCAAACAATGGAAGCTGTAGGATTATCTGCCCAAGTATCAGGCTAAACTGGCTATGTTGTACTTTCACTTCAAAGTAATGGAGATAAAAAATGCTGTTTTCATTGGATCAATGGTATTTTTTTCTGCTGACAGATGACTGAGCTCAATTCTTCATAGTTCTGCCATCCCTACTCAACACTTTATCAAGAATTCCTAAGAGGTGCACCAGAGAAGAGGGAAGGGCAATCTTCTTTTATCAGGTTCTTACAAGATGCTTCCTAGACTGAAGCCACTACAATTGCAGGTAAATATGGGTAGGCCAAAGCTTTTTTCTCTGGTGCTTTCCTTACAAAGAAACCATAACACGCTGCCTTAGAACCGATGAACTTATATATCAACCACACTGAATAAAAACAGAAACAGATGAGACTCTGTTGTTAACCAGGCAAATGAACAGCATGAACTATCACATGTCAAATTAGAACAGTGCTCTTCAAAGATGATGCTAATAGACCAGAGATGCTGATGACAACAAACTTACAGTGGAGCTTCTGTTGATGTTTACAGGTTACATATCTAATATATAAAAGAGTCAGCACTAGAGAATTCTTATTTTCCACAGCACACAGAAGCCCTGCTCAGTTCATATCCACATGATTTCATTTTAGCTTCTTCAATTGTTAAACATTTGGATAGATTGCCAAGAAAAGAAAAAAGGAATCTCATGAGCTGTAGCAGCCAACTCATCCCCTCCTTCCCCAAGCGATACAATCAAAGGTCCTGTGATACCAAGACAACTGCAAATGATTAGATATGCTTATCCGGAGTGGCAAAAACATAACATCCCACAAGAACAGTCAGCAGTAATGCAAGAGCTCTGCTAACCTAACCTACCAATCTTTAGGCAGCCTTTAGGTGAAAGTCTAAGTCACAACCCTTCTGGACGTCTGGAAAGCTGCTAAAATCCAGCTCCGCCCCCCTCCCCACAAACATTATAGTCAGAATGTTAAGGGACCCAATGCAGGTAGTCCTCAGTTAACTATGGAAATCGGGACCAGAAATTCCACTGCTAAGCAATGCGGTCATAAAGTTGAGTTGTCACATGATCACAACACTTAGCAACAGCAATCCCTGCCCTCTCCATCGTTGCTGTTAAGTAAGGACCACAGATCATTAAGCAAGTCCCAGGTAGCTTGCAAGCAACCCAGCAGGCAGGTAAGGCAAGGTAAGGGACTTGCAATCTTCCCAGCTAGTGTCACAATTGATTTTGCTTGTGAAGGGAGGTTGCAAATGGGGATCCTGAGTGCAAGGCGTTTGCCAAGTCCCCCAGATCACAATCACAAGACTGCAGGAGTTCTGGGGCAACCAGAACATCAAGGTTGCAAGTCTCCTTTTTCAGCATTGTCATAACTTCAAATGGTTGCTGAACGAATGGTTGATAAGCAAGGAGCTACCTCAGTGGTGGGATTCAGCCAGTTCACACCACTTTGGGAGAACCGGTTGTTAACTTTCTGAGCAGTTTGGTGAACTGGTTGTTGGAAGAAATCATTAGGGCAGAGAACCAGTTGTTAAATTATTTGAATCCCACCACTGAGCTACCTGTATACATGTCTTTATTTTTATTGAATTGGTATATAGTGCCCTGGGTTGCCTTTTCTTATATAAGAGTACTTTAAATGCTTTATGGGGGTGGAGGTTTTTTTGGGTTTTTTTAATATTGTTTTGTATGGAATATTCACCGCCCAGAATTATGTATTTACAATAAGCAGCTGTATAAATTGTCTACATAAATGAATAATTTTTCTCAAGCAAACGGATGGCTCTTCTCCCAGAGAATGCCTTTTCATACTCTAGTCCTTGAAGAAGGACATTGGGCTTAAGGCAAGATGTTTTTCATTTCTTCTCAAAGAAAAACAGTTTTGTTTCCAGACACTCCTTGACTCTCAAGAAATTTCCATCCTCTCAGAACGGGTCCAGATGTTACATTTCAAAAGACCGAGCCTTTTCTCTTTTCATACTTCCTTCTTTAGAGCAGGAAATCACAGATTGTACTGGCTAATTCTGTAACTAGAGAAAAAAATGTTTCTTGCGCTTATCTAGTTATAAAAGATACCTTAGTGAATTTCCATTCCCTACCAGTTATTACAGCTACATCCAACTAGACCACCCAGAGGAGCTTTTAGCTAGCTGCTAAGTGCCTTGGGAACTATTTTTCAATGTATTTTGACAATGACATTTTCAAGGTTGATATTTCTCGGATGAAGAATGAAAAAAATATGGTTGCTAAAATGTTGAGAATGGCTTGACGGTACATAATCAATAGTGAAAAAATATCACTTTCAGAATTCTGAACTGAACAATATTATCAAGCAAAAAAAAAATCAACAACAATTCAGTACTATTGCAATATCAGCTGGGAGGGACCTAGGAGTCCTAGTGGACAACCACTTAAATAAGAGCCAGCAGTGTGCTGCAGCTACCAAAAAAAGCCAATGCATTCCTAGGCTGCATCAATGGAGAGCTGTATCAAGATCATGAGAAGTGATAATACTGTTATATACCCCACTGGTAAGACCATACTAGGAATATTCCATCCAGTTTTGGTCACCATGATACAAAAAGATGCTAAGACTCTAGAAAAAGAACAGAGAAGATCAACAATGATGATTAGGGGACTGGAGGCTAAAACATATGAAGAAAGTAAGTATTGGGTATGTCTAGTCTAATGAAGAGAAGGACTAGGGATGCCATGATAGCAATCTTCTAATATTTAGGGGCTGTCACAAAGAAGAGGGGGTTAACTGATTCTCCAAAGCACTCGAAGGCAAGACAAGAAGTAACAGACAGAAACTTATCAAGGAAAGATCCAATCTAGAACTAAGGAGAATTTCCTGACAGTGGGAACAATTAATCAGTAGAATGGCTTGCCTTCAGAAGTTGTGGGTCCTCCATCACTGAATATTTTTAGGAAGAAATTGGACAACCATTTGTCCAGAATGGTGTACGGTCTCCTGTTTGAGCATGGAGTTGGACTAGAAGACCTCCAAGGCCCCTTCCAACTCTGTTATTCTGTTATTAATAGCTTTCGTTTCTTGCAGTAATAGAGTGAATGTAGGCAGTAATGGAGTGAATATAAGACCTAGGGGTCAGTGTACTTGACTTCTGGTTTCTTTGTAAGTATTTTCTGGGCTCTCCATGCTGAATTCCTTAAATTTCTTCCCAAATCAGTGAATATTATGTTCAGAATATGTGAGGACGATTTTATTGCACTGTCATTGGAAAAACAATGTTGCATTTTCTATTTAGAACGTGATGCTACAGTTCTAGTCTATTTCAATGAAGATTTATAATACATTCATGATTTATGATACATTCACTAAATAAATTAGGACTGTTCATGCTTCAAAATAATTTGGGAAGAATGCCTTGCATAAACTTGAGCTCAGCACCTCTCTGCTCTTCATAAAAGCAGCCCATAATTTTTCAAGTTTCTGTGCCAACCTAAAAAAAAAAAGCTGTGTCTGAAAGTCTGAAAAAATAGTCTGCTTTAATGAAGAACAGAAAAGTGAAGGGCTCTGGTTTATGCAAGATCCAAGACACTACTTTCCAAATCATTTTTGGGGAAAATGAGAAACACAAAATTCAAGATGGCTCTTCCGAACATAACTGTTAATAAACTCAACTTGTAATGATTTTAAGTAAAGTTATATATACTGAATCTTGAGTTAGGAGCTGGGTTTAAATTGTGCTAGCTGGGTTTCCCTTGCATTCTTCCCAGACTAGGAATAGCTCTTTTGGGAATTACGCTTATTCCGCAATTTCTCCATCTTTAGGAAAGAAGGCAAAACCTTTCCCTTCAGATTGGATTTATAGACTAAATGAAAGATTATTTCATTTGGGCTAATTAAATGAATTAATGCATCAAATTAATCATGATTTTAGTTGCTGCTTTAATCAGATTTTTAACTATTTATATATTATTGCTTTTGTTTTTTAATCAATTTCCATCTTCCATTTCCTAAGAGTGGAAAAGCAAGGCAAAGTACAGTGAAAATGTAAATAAATTAAGATGGATTCAATTAAGCTGATTTTAATGCAATGTTTGAAAAACCATTTCCTAAGTCATATCACTTGCCATTTCCTAACTCATATCATTTGCAAATTGTTTAGCACTAAATGTTTCACTCCTGATGCTAGACCAAAGAGCTGCACTATTGTTGACAGGCCTTTGGGGCAGTCTCCAGCACCACCGCTCAGTTTAACTGGAAAATAAGATGTAGTTTTGTTGCTAAATGGGTTAGAAACATGATAACACAAAGGAAAGGCTAAAATAGCTGTACAAACCAGGGATTTGGGCAGCTCTCATAGCCAGAAAGACTAATGTGGTTGTAGAAAATTAGATGGGGAGCTATTTGACATGGAACAGAAAAAATGTAGCATCAATCACTACAAAATCTAGAAGAGAGAAACTTACCGGGGTATCTACATGCTTTGCAGGGCTCTCTTCGGTGGATGGCTGCACAGAGAAGAAAAACAAAGAAAGCATGAAAGCCAAGTTCAAATGTAAAACTTCCTTGCATGTTTATAAAACAAACTTTTCAAGTTCCCATACAACTTTCCTACATCCCTCTTCCCTCCTGTAGCTGTGGAAGGAGATTCAAAAGGTCAGGAATCCCTGGAAGCTGGCCAAGCTCCCTAGTTAATGACAAAAGTTCAATTTTAAAGGATAGAGAGGAAGTTAATGTTGAGTGCAATACAAATCATCCAAACCACTTTTAAACATGTATGAGGTCAAAAGGGGCCTTACTGTATAACTGTGTAAAGGCTTTTGCTACAATTTTAACTCTGTATTTTCTGGCTGGTCCATTTTCTGCCATTTCTCTCTAAGTTCAACCTGATCTAGTTGCCCTCAACAACTCCCTTCCATAGTCCTTCTTCTTTGGTTCCTTCACCCTCAGGAAATACCACACCTCCAAATTCTCCGCCATGCTCTTTTTCTCTCTACAGTACCACTTCTCTTTCTGCTCCAATTTTGCCAGCAACTCCTTATCTCTTGTACTCTATCACAAAAGTCCCTGTATCTCTGCCTTTTCTATTTTTCTGCATTCCACAGAATGCAGAAGTCTCTGCATTAAAAGTCCCATGTGGCATCTATCTTTTAAAAAGGGCAGTTTTATTGGCATGAACAGGGGCACGAATTATTTTCTCCAGTACATGACCCTCATCTGAATCCTCATCTTCAAATCTTCTCTTTGCTTTGCTTTGCTAATATCTTTAGGAGGTGGGATCAACTTGGATCTCTCATTGACATGTTTATTTTTTAAGGTTATAAAACAATTCAGCTCATTAGGCTCTTAGCTTCTTCAGCCCTTCCTTTGAGGAAGTGCAAGCCATCAAATTTGTTCGAAGGCTCTGGTGGTTTCCTGCAGTTGGCTTTGGCAGCAAAAAAAATTTAAAACCCCAAGCCAGAGGCTTAGCAGAGTTGGTTAAAATACTTGTAATTCTGGTTTTGTTTTTTTTAAAAATGGCACATAACTGATGTCCTAGAAAACTGGAAGAGTTTGTTTTTAAAAGCTCCCGATCATTGATTACAAAACACTACAACTCTACCCACATGGGTATTTTTAAACAGCCGGATGGCTGAGCTCAGACTATTATGTTTGCAGATTGAATGCATGGTAAAGTGGGATAACAGCACAGCAAGCACAGGTTTTGGCATTTCTACAACACTGTTTGTCCTGAGATGCTGTGGCAGTACAGAAATAAGCCCTATTTCCAGGAGCAAGAGCATGCTTCTCCTTTTATGGGTAAAGCATTATGCACAGTATTTGGTTCGCTTGCAGGTTCAGTCCCAAGTTTGTCCAGTTAAAAACAACTTGGGGTTAATGTTGAGAATTTAGAAAACTACTGCTAGGTCAGAACAGACAGTACAAAACTGGAGGGAATTTTGTGACTATTGAAAAATTTACTTCAAAACAACTTAATTCCTTATCTTCACTTATGCCAGTCAAAGTTTATAATAAGGCGTGCCCAATCTGACACAACTGTGACCTACAATAAGGGGAGTTTCTCCCCCCTTTAGAAAACCAGCTATTTTGTGAACAATGACATCCATTTACAAATAAGAAAATCCAACAATAAAATCCATATTTTTATGGATGTGGTGGGGTGGGGTGGGGTGGGGTGGGGTGGGGTGGAATGGAATGGAATGAAATGGAATGGAATGGAATGGAATGGAATAGAATAGAATAGAATAGAATAGAATAGAATAGAATAGAATAGAATAGAATAGAATAGAATAGAATAGAATAGAATAGAATAGGATTTGGCCAACAGAGATTGGATACACAAGGAAATTGTCTCTAGTGCAAAAGCTCTCAATGTACATGCAAAGCAACAGAGTAATAATAATCATAACAATGATATCAATAAGAAGGGGTAGTAGAGGAGACGAGAAGGATAATAATACTACAGTCAGATAACATGGGTTTTGACATAGAACAATATTGTGAGGATTAGGTGTTCAGCAGAGTGATGGCACGAGAGAAAACCTGCCTGCGTCTAGTTGTTTTGGCATGCAATGCCCTATAGAAGCATCCTGAGGGGAAAAGTTGAAACAGGATGTGAGGGGTCTGTAGATATTTTCTCAGCTCCTCCTTCTTACCCTCGAAATATTCAGGTCTATGGAAGGCAGGCTGGTTACAACTTTTTTTTTTGTAGTCCTAACTATCTGTTGGAGTCTGTACCTGTCCTGTTTAGTTGCTATACCAAACCAGACAGTTATAGAAGTACAAATGACAGACTCAATAATACCTCCTATAGAACTTTATTAATAGCTCCTGGGGCAGCCTGAACCTCTTCAGTTGATGCAGGAATAACATTCTTTGTTGTGCCTTTGTAATGATGGTTCTAATCTTAGGTGTCCATTTTGAGTCCTGGGAGATTATAGAACCCAAAAACCTGAAAGGATTCTACTTCTGATACTGTGTTGTTGAATATAATAAGAGGTGGTAGAACATGAGGACTCTCTAAAATCCAAAATCATATTGCAAGATACCTGGGAATAAGTGGGGTAACACAAATGGGAAAAGCCTGTTTAAAAATATTACCCATAAACCTGCAAATGTTTTTCGGCTGACTATACCAAATGCTTTCTGTTTTTTCAGACTGCCTGATTACCCCAAGTTCTCCCTCAATATGAGTAGTATTTACAAAGCTCATACATATGGTATCCTTAAACAGATAATTTAAAGATGCTGCAGGCAAGAACAACCTTTTATAATATTAAGCCTGAAACATAATTGTGGTTACTATTCCTTGATCAAGACATTTCATGTTATCTTAACTCTGAAAAGATGGCTAACCTGAGGTTCTCTCTCTCTTCACCCTACAAACATTGAAAGGCTTTACAAAAAACATAGAAGCATTCCTTCTATTATGGGAATTTCTCTTTATCTAGTGCAACTTCTCTGTTGTAAACTGAAGTAGTCTTCCATATTCTGGGCTGTTTTTTACTCATTAGGTTAATCCCAGTTATGTAGGTTATGAGGATGAGGGCATTTGTTTATTCACTTTTTTACTTTATGTGCATGCCACCCAATTTGAAAAGTTTCTGCAAAACTATTTCCATGGGCAGCTGAAATGCATGACAAGAAATTTAGAAAGATGCCTTGCCAGACTTTTGATCCATTCTAGCCTAATGCTGTCAGCACTACCATGAATGGTATTTCAGGGTTTCAGTTTGAAGGATCTCTCAGTTTTTAGTTAGAAAGTTCAGGAACTGAATTTAGAAAAATAATAAAAAAATATAAAGAAGCCACTTCTTTATATTCTTTCTTTCTTTCTTTCTCTTTCTTTTTCTTTCACTTTTAGCTTTCTCTTTGTTTTCTTTCTTTTTATTAACTTGTATTAGTTTTTATTCTTCTTTCAAAAATACTTTTAATAAAATTATTTAAAAAGAAGGAATTGAATTTAGGACTTTTTGCAATGGTTTTGTTTTACAATGGAACTATAGCAGTCTGGCAGCTTCTTTTCAGATATTAGAACAATATTTAAGACCATTTTATTTGGAAGTAGCTTTATTATTGGCTAACCAAACCATTTCTCTTATTCTTTCAGCTGTCCTTTAATTTCATTGTAATATAACTCAGATATTGTTTCTCTGGGATATTTATGAGATGCTATTGCCTTTTTTAATAATGCACTCATAGCAGTCAAAGCATGAGTAATATTAAAATTAATACCTAAAAGATGGTTTATTAAAAACCATCTTGACAGTTACGGTAATTACAAAATCATTACTTTAACAAAACAAATCAGTAAGCAAATAAATACAATTTCTTCCTTTCAAGAGGCTTCTGCTTGGTTCTTTGCCCAGAATGTTGTTAAATGTTCCATGCATAATGCAATTAACCACCTGAAGTTTGATGATGCAAAGTTGCATGCGGTCCTAGCTCACCCAAACTACTTCTAAAAACTGGTTCCTCTTTGCTCAGTTGATACAAATAACAAAAGCACTTGGGCTCACTGGTATTGAAGGTACTTGTACTTCTCCAAGCCAGCAATCATAAAATGTCAACCATGCCTAAAGATATTTGGAGGCTTTCAATGGCCCAGTGTTTTCTGTGGTTTATGTGCTGTGCTGTCAGAGTCTTGGTTAAAATGGAAATACTAAAAATAAAGCTTTACACATTAAATTCTGCAACAGTTCCAGGTTCCACTTAGTGTTTTAAAATTCCCTGTTGTGTGCATACATTAAGGCCTCTTTTGTAAGATTTTCCTCATAGCTAGTTTATCAAACTTTTAATTGTTATTTTTTTTAAGCAAGTCAATTCTTCTTTAGTTCAGCTATTGCTTCGCCCATACATCTTGTGCACACTGCTACAGCTACTGTAAATCATGTCTTAAATTCCCCAGAATTAGTCCTAAATCCTTTGGCTTCTGCTAGTAAGAAGGAGGATTGAGTCAGTGTTTATCATTCTTGTTCAGTTCAAGTTCATTATTTGCAGCCTCAGTACCTTCCTGTTCTTTCTGTTCGAAGTTCAGAACAATGTATCACAAAATGAAGGTGCATCCATTGCATGGAAGAATAGATGGAGTTGACTCAATATCCTGCAAATTCCTGCCAGGCTCTCCATATCTCAACTCCAACCAATAAAATTTAGACATGCAAGACCAAAGGAATGCTCCAAACGGAACGCTCCTGTTGCTATCAGACAAAGGCCATGAGGCAGTTATTCTATCTTTCCTCTCTTGAACAGATTTTCTGGGAAAGGATAAAAAAAGTGGGGAAATGAACAGGAAAATAAGAAGACTAGAAATAGCAGATAACACTGTCTGCACTATCAAAAATGAATATATGTAGCACAGCTCTATAACCAAATCAAGGAACCAGTAAGGAGATAAACACCAATCAAGCAGAAAACAATACTCTAATCAAGGAACTACCAAGGAAAAAAAACCCGTATCCTCACCAACACTGGCAAGGGAAGTTACTGTATAGAAATAGGGAGCAAA